CCAAAGATGATGGAGAGTGGTCTAGCAGACCTATAAGCCCACTTCATTAATACCTACGTATGAGTGTATTGTTCATAATACTCAGTTTGCACGTTTTTACAGTATGTTTCATTCAAGGTTTTCCGATTTCATCTCTCATCTTGCATTTGTTTCACTTGGTATCAACATTTACAAGTCCTCCAAATTAAACAATCCACTAGTTCATTGTGCCATTTGTCTCCACTATATACCATTCCAAAATTTTTTTAATAGAACTAGAATATGGACCATCCCCTAGAAATTTCCTCCAACTATTTCACACTCCTTATCAGGCCACTGCTATTACTGCTGAAGTCTCTAGATGTGCCTTAATAACCTTCTTTCTTTTCAGAAAAACCTCTGGTTTTGGAGGAGTTTTGCAGGGTTATTTTCAGTCAGATTCAGTCCACTGATGCAGCAAACAACTGAGGACAGAAAATCCTTAATCAAGTACTACTAGCATAAAGTTGTTTAGATAGACTACAATGTTCAAGGTTGTACAGAAAGGTCCAGCTCCTGCTCACAGATCCAGGTTATTTTAAAATTAGTCAGCTTGAGTACCAGTAATCACAAGTGCACACAGCCAAGCATGGGTTAGGAATCAAAGCACTTAACTTATTATTCTTTTTTTAAAAAAACCCTTGCTGCTTCTGAGATTGTATTAGGTGTTACCATTTCTAAAGTACCAGGCAGTATCTGTCAGCTTTGCTTTGTTGCAGTTGCAACAGGACTACAATACACACATATACAAGGACTAAAGGAAGGATTTGTTTTCTTCGCAAAGGCAACTGAAAGATATGTGGTCAAAAATTGTAACAGTTGGATAGATAGTATCCTAAGGCATTGAAGAGAACAAGGTACCTACCAAACTTTAAAAGCAGCTGATGGGCCAAACACACAGCTTAAATACATTTGTTGAAATCTCTTTTAAAACAAATTAATATAAAAAGAAACACACAAAAATTACCTGCCAAACACCAATATTTGCTGTGGGTTCTGAAAATGGCCGCTTGTAAACTCTACACATCTTTAAGGCATCAGAATATATCTCTGTGATGTTGTTTAACACTGCAAAGACAGCTGCCAGTGGATAAACACATGAGAAAAGACTCACATAGCCAAACTGTAAGAACAACTCCAGGTAATCATCAAAAGTACCCTGAAAAACAGAGCAAAAATAAGAACTTTAACCTACACAAAAATATATGAAGAGACACAGAATTAACAATACGGTTGTAAACACGCTTCCTCATCCCAAATCAGTTGTTTGGGAATGACTGGTGGTAGAAAACAACAACAAAAATATATCTAGTTAATTTGGAACTATTAAATTACTCAAAGCTTCTTAATAAGGGGAGGTGAAGGTTTTTGCCCTATTGCCTAATGCATTTTCGGCAACAGTCACACTTCTTATCCTTATTACATTAAGTAATTATATAAACACATTCATCCCATTCAATCCTGACTACCTCAGTGAAACAAATTACTAGAAGGAACAGCAGAGGATGGGAAAACAGTAACGCACATTTAAACTGGCAGAACATTCTCCTAGGAGAGTTGTGACATGAAAAGTCCTACTATTTCAGTCTATCCATGGAAGACCTAACCAGAAAGCTAGGCTGGTAGATAGGCAACTCTTTTCTGGTATTTCTGCTTATTTCAAAATGACTAAATCAGAATTAGTGGCCCACTTGAAGGCTAGAACAACAGAATGCAGCACTGACATTTGAAAGGAACAATTAATGCAAACAAAAAGCCCTATTCTGGCAAATGCGCAACACATCTATCACCTGGTCTTTAAACCAGGAACGTGGGTACATAAATACTGATTAAGTATTCACGTGTAGGTTATTGTGCATATTACTTTGTAGTATTATTAATAGTTTTCTGATTGTAACAGTTATTTACAGAAGCAAAGAACAAAACCAACTCATTTTTAAATAAAAGGTGTTTGCTGAACAAAGGACAGTGAAATACCATGAACAAGTTAAACTGGGATCTAGCTATATTGTATTCACCCAGACCCACATATTTTCCTCTCTCTCAAAAATGAGATATTAGAAATAAATACTTGACAGTAACCAAGATTACAAGAACCACATGAAATTGGTTTTGGCTCCACAAATCAGACACATGGTTCTCCAATCTTTTTTGCTGGTTACAGCTGTAAACTGACTACCTCTCCAAGCACACAGTGCTTTTTTTCTAGCTAATGGAGAGAGGCAGAAGTCTGAAAGCTCAGAAATCAGCATGGGGTGGCCATTAGCTGCATTCTTCACTTGAGTTCACTTTTAAGTTGTGTAGTATAGCTGGATCTGACAAACCGATCTGCAGGCCAGACCCTGAGGTGCTACCCAAGCTTTAAAACCACTGTGATTTTTCCACAGAAATGTTTTGTACGAAATCTGCGCTTTGGTAAGGTGGGATGTTTGTGCAGGATCAGTTACTGAAGTGGCAGTCACATATTTGTCCCTGCAATCACTTTCTGAGACAACTGTTGCAGGCAGGGAGCCATGCTTCCCTTTATGCTCCTCCTTCTGGTATCTGGTAACTGCATGGTATTCCTACTACTTCCTCACACCTTTCTTCTCATTTCCTTGTCCAGTACCTATTGACATTTACAACAGCAGAGTACAAAAACAAGAATATTTATTTTTCTCCTACTTTATTTATGACACTTTGTGCAGGAAGAAAGCAATCTGATAGTGTGTTAAAGAAACTGCAAAGTCTGCTATTGTCAGCCACAAAAGCAGCACATAAACTATGGCATAAAGGAAACAATCAACAAAGAAATTCAGGGAGAAAATGAATTAGAGGAGAGAAGCAGAATTTAAAAAAAATAATATAAAAAATGACTGCAGAATGTTTTTACATCTTAAACTGAGTTAAGGGCCGGAGATTTGAAAAGTGAGAGAGAAAGAAGACAAAAAACAAGAACTAAATGTTAGAAAGTGAAGGAAGGAAAAGAGAAAAGTCTGAAACACTTTATTCTGTCAAGACTCCTGTTAAACTCCTCAGTTAACTAAACGTAGTCAAATGGTTCCCCCTTGTGACAGATTTTAGAAATACTCTTGCCTGCTGACAACTCACTGCTTGCAAACAAATCGATGGTCTAATATTGTGTATTCACAAACATAGCATAATTAAAATCTTTAGACTGAAAATAAGATTGAGACCTTGAGTATACAGTACCTTGAACTGAAACTGAGGCTAGCAGAGGATACCTCCAAGGCAAAGTCATAACTCTACAACTGACCTGTTGGGTCCCCATGGAAAATTCTTCAGGGCAGAATGGTACAACAGGTGCAGATACATTTGATCCAGCTCTACACAAGAAGCATTGGGCAATGTGAGTCCAGGACACCACACTGGCTTTGTATGTGTCAGCTGAGAATCAGAGCTCAGCTCAGGTCTAAAAGGTAGCGCTTATTTGGTAAGGCATATCAACACCTGATGCTGATACACAGTTTTTGGAGCTGTGCTGGTCCATTCACAGGCACAGAGCTGGACTGTGCTGATTTACCAGTTCACACAGACACTTAACTTGGGGATTTCTGCTGTGTTCCCTATTGTATGATAGCGATGCTCTCTAAATCTCTATCTCCTCATACAAAATGTGGTAAACACCAAGCTTCCCACAGGAACGCAAGTACTAACATTTGTACGGTTTTCCAATTGCACAGGCAGCATTTCTTTTTCCTCTTCCCATTTGATGGGACTTTATACAGAAAGAGCAGAATCTGATATGATTCTGAGATCAAATTTCAAACTGCTATTCTCTACCTTTTACATAAAAGATACGTTATCGACATATAATTCTTATTCTGTAAAAATATAAATCATATAGTATTAAGCCTCTTGTGACTATGCTTGCAACATCAGATCAAGCAAGTTGTGAGCCAGTCTGTTAAGACCTTAATGTACATACTAATGTCTACATTGTCAGTTCCTTTAGAACTACAAGTAATGAATTGCACCAACTCTGTTAAAATACAAATAAAAATCATACTGGGTAGGAGGTGGACAGAAACAGAACTAGAAAGACAATGAATGCCAAAGCTGCAGTTTCAAGAAGCAAGAGCTTCCAGCAGTAGTACTGGTTTGAAGAGTTGGTCTCTTCTGCCCTCTCCATTTCTAGCCCCACCCATACAAGAATATACTCTCTCAGGCTACAGTTTAACTGACAGTTTAAACTAGTACCACTGCAAAACCAAACTAAAACAGAAACAGCCTCCCCCTTCCCTATGACAAGCTACTCATCCTGGTAGCCTCCACCCTACCCTTGGCGATTAAGGGCATATTACACAAATACTTCTTCCAGTGATATGGGGTTAGGTAGCTCCAGATTAACCTGTTCATTCCTACTCCTTCGTGCTGGTGTAACTGCAATCCTGCACTGTACCAGTTTGCTGACCGAGTGCACTATATAGCTGTATAAACAACACTACCAGCCAAACTGATGAAGCTGGAAATAAGCTGCTAGGCCAGACAGACAGGAATATTTTAGCTTGCACTGGCTGATATCTCTGTCAACTACAGCCCAGAAAACTTTTAAGTCTTTTATAGTAGTAAAACGTACAAAATAGGTGCCCATTTCTTTCTCCAACTTGACTTGTTCGACTAATGGCAGGTCCATATCTGTCTTCAGAGAACACATGCGTTTCTTCATCCTCTTCTTATGTCTCTTTTGGAGCCAGTAAGGAAGCAAGGATTCTGCAAACTGATTAAGGATCTGCGAAGTTATCAGCAAAGTGGCCAAGCTCTTAAGTAAAAAAATAAATAAATAAATTAATTAATACATCCGCAATAAAACTATGATCATTTCCAATTTTGTGCGTTCTGGTAATACTGTAAGGTGTTATACTACTACAAGAGAAGGCCAGCCTAACAAAACTAGCAATACATATGAAAAGTATAGCTGTATAGCTGCTTCAGTTCCCATTCTTTGCCACGTGCTGAAAAGATAAAAACAGGAGTTAGATGTCTGAATACTTTGTGGATCTGGATGTATCTTGAGGACAGTACACGAAGTCCAATGAAGTGTAAAGATATACACTTAATCTATACTAACATTAATAACAGAGCCAAAAAATGAACATTTTTCTATTGTTTTTTCTTCTTACTTTTTTTACCTTTGAGTATAGGAAATGTCATGAATGTTCAAGTCTGGTATAGATATGTCAAGTGTTTTGCTAGAGATCTGTTTAGAGGAACAAAGTTCTTAAGCTGAAATTCTTCTTCTTTTGTTCATTATAGTTAGAGCAAAAATATTTTCCTTGTACCTGATTTCCATGCATTTGAGTTGAAAAGACGTTAACAACAGAAAGCTGATTTCAGATACCAACTACAAATTCTTTTTGCTTTTATTTATCTTCAGCTCCTCCTGTAGTCATAAACTTCATTATTCTCCTATCCTCAAGAGTCTCCTGTTGAGAATACTACAGAGAAAACCATTTTCTAATATAAGGGGAAAGGAGGAGGAAATTAAAATTTTCCAGACTCATCTGTGTAAAGGAATAATCAATTTATTTGAAAACAGTTTCTCATTTATATGGAGGGAAAGCATTGCTCCACATTACTGTGTTATGATTCTCCAACTGTGCTAGAGGAACTGAAACATGGATTTGTAAGAAAATAGTAACTAGACAAGGAACATATTTCTTATATATTTTAGACAAGCAATTAAAAACTAAAGTCCTATTTCAATCAATCTTTTCTTTTCCCAGATTCATCAACATTCTTAAAATGTTATTGGAACTCACCTGCCTCAAAAGCTTCATATCAAACAGGACAAAAGCAATGTAGAAGAGAGATGCAAAACAATTTAAGAAGTTGAACTGCAATTAAAAATATTTGTTATTAGTACTTAAGCAAAAGTTCAAATGCAGAATATTACCAAACTTAACAGTTACCTTGACTAAATAGCTTCCATGCAAATTTTAACTATTAAAATTTTCTTTACCATTTTTTAAACTTAGGTCAGAAAAACCTCATTTTCAATATTGGTCCTACTGAGATTTTCATGTGACAAGCTTAACGCTTTCCTAAAGCACAGTACATAAAGAAACACGGACATTAAAAACACATCACCTTCTATTTAACTTTCATCTTTTGGCAGTTTCCACAAAGGTAATGCAATAATGGGGAATGTATTCATCCTAAATTAGGGTAATGATTTTTTTCCCCAAATAAATACTTTGTCAAAATATATGCATTGGACGACATATCTCTCAACATGCACAACTGCTCCTTGATATATGCTAGTTGAGCTTTATGTTTAATTACTTCAAGAGGTTTTATGACCAAAAGAAATATTCCCTACTTCTAAAATGAGACATAATCACAGTATTGGACCTAAAAAATCATAATCAAGCTCTGAAGTAGGAGAAAACTTGTCCTACTTGCTATCAGTGCTAGAGCTCATGGAAGACATAGATAACATTTGGAGAGTGCAGAGAGCCACTCATAGATTAAAAGTGAAACTTGAGGGGGTTTAATTTGACATTTTATATTTTTTAAAATTATATAAAATCCGCATAGGGAAAAAAGAGAGGGTGCTACTTTTTGTGAGAAAGGCAGAGAAAGCTTTAAATCATACGTACAAGAGTTTTAGCTCTAGAGATTACCAGTAATGGAAGGATAGCAAGCAGATTTCTAAAAAATCATAAAAAGGTATACTGAGTTAAGGGAGGAAGAAAAAAAGGGAACTCTGGAGGAGAATTGAACAATCTTTTCAAAAAGGAAACAACATTAAGTTTCAAAATAAGCCAATTTCACAACTGCTTTTACTGAACATCTTATATAGGAATTTAATTCCCTTATATAGGAACACAAGCGCTACTTGATCAGAGACACAAAGTAAATACATTGGTATATACTATAAACTGCATAGGAGCAGACTGATGGACATATCTCCAGCCTCCTCTGACTGGTTGTCGGAATGTTAGTACAGGTGGAAGTTAATACATGAGCTTTTTAAAATACAGGTTTACCATAAAATCTTGCAAAAAGTGAAAGGAATAGTTCCCAGTTGAAGACCAGACCACATCAATCAACAGAAAAACTTACATACACAGAATCCTAATGAAAGAACAAATTAATACAAACAAAGCCCTAACTCTCCAGTATAAAAAGAGGCATCTAAAACAGTCTAGCAGTTACTGCAACCAGAGCAGAAATCCTGCTTACCCTGAGATTTGTGCTATTATTTGGCCCAAACAAAACCGTAGGTCAGTGAGGTAATAGTAGGAAAACACTAATAAATCACATGACAAGTACTTTTTAAATCACATTAAAAGCTGCTTATACTACATACTTACCACTAAAACCTTCAGAATTAAATGATTCTGATATGAAGATTCCAGCCTGTGATTTTCTAAAATACCAACAAAATTATTAATCAGTAAACAGCAGAAGCACTAGACATTGTTATACAGAGTAAACAGACATTTTTCCTCCACCTAAGAATTAATTAATTAACTAATAGTATATGTGGAATAGCTCCTTCAACACATTATGGCAAAAACAATTTACACTCACTCAACCTATAAAGCTAATCTGATGCACAATATTGACATATATATTTTTAGCTGCAACTCTAGTATTTTTTTCGACTGCAAAGGTTTTTCCTTTTACATCTTTCTTTCTTTCTCAGAAGAGCTGTTTTATAACAGAAAAACTATTCATCATTCTTAACACTTAATAAAATGTGCCTAAGTTATTGATTTTTCTTTGGCTGAAAACAAATGCAAAACTAATTGGAATATATTATGAAAAATAACAATACCAGATTTGATTCAAAATCCATAAATGCTCATAGAAATATTCTCATTCATCTCCAAGGAATTTAGATCAGACCCTAAGCTCTAAAGCAAGACTAGAGTACATGAAGTTCAACTGATGTATTACGCATTCTAAAATTGAGATTTTCAGTTTATTCAATATAAACTGTCAGAAGCTGATGTTTGAGGAAGGCTGGTTAATCAGGGGGAGGAAGGGGAAGTGAATGGGAGATTTCCCATTTCTTTTCACTCTTTTGTCAGATTGTACCTTTAAAGCCCTGGATAAACAGTAACTGAATGAGGAGGAAGGACACTAGCAGGAACTCTGTCAGCAAGGCTGAAAGAAGAGAGCAGCACCTAGGGACCTTGTTCAGGACAGAACAGCAGAGTTGTACTCCAAAAGAGCGTGAAGTTGGGCCTGACACATGGAAGGTGTACTCAGGGGCCTGAATGCAATTTTTACTTTTAGCTTTCATTAAATTATCAGTTCTCACGATAAACGGGTGCAAGAAGTGTGCTTAAAAATACCCCAGATTGTTTCCTCTGTTTTGCCAGTGTAGCTGTTTTAAGTCAGATCTTAGCTGAAAATGTCAGCTGGGAGAGGAGGCAGGACAGCTACATGAGCTTTTCATCCTATTCACAGCATGACAGCATAAACACGTTGGACAGCACAGAAAAGGCACAAGCCGTCAGTGTCGTGAGGGACAAATATTGTTGCTGCTGAATATGAAACACCAGCTTAAAACCAAAAAACAGTCGGTTAAAAAAAACTTGGGTTACCTGTTAAAGACATTATAGTCTACCTGATCAACACAACTGGGCATTTTGCGTAATGTTTTTTTGCAGTATAGTAAAAAAAACTGAAACAAAACAGTCAGTTGAAACCTAGATATAAAGTCATTATTTAAATAAAAACCCCTGAACAGTCATAAACAAACCAAGAAATTGCTTGCTTTCACTATTGTTGCTGTCAAGTTGAGTTGGCTGAGCAAATCATTTTGGCACGCATAACCTACCCCTACTTCAACACTTTTTACTCGGTCTTCTGCATCAATCTCCCTTTTGCTTAATCTTTCTTAGATTCTAAGTTTCTGGGCCTCCATCTTCAGTAATCTGGATTCTGTCCTGTAAACGTATGCCATATTGAGCTACACAAAACACTTAACTTTCCATTAGCTTCATCTATTAACTTTGTCTGAAATTAACTGCACATGTCCGTAGAAGTGCTAAAATTCAAAATAAAACACTAACATTTCACTATCCTTATGTTAGGCTACAAAACATAAGGTCCCAACAGTTAAAAAAGTCACACACACAGGGAAAACAAGGCAATCTATTATAATATTGCTCCTCTTCTGAGAGGGCCCAGAGGAAAATATTTTGATAGGGATATGAAATCTCTTTGTTATATGTACAGCATACACACACACTCTCACATGGCATTTAGTTGATGTTTTTAGGTTTTCTTCCATTATCTATCTCAGTGCCTCTGTCCTCTGCACAGGTGTAACACTAGACTAAGATGTATTCAGCAAACCCAGGTGTGGACGCAAGCTGCCAGGACAGTCCCCCCTGCCATCCACCTCTGAGCTCCCGTCCCCACATGATCTCACCTCACCACTTTCGCAAGCACTATGGCTGATAACAGACAAACAAAGAGCTTAATCAGGGAAAGGGGACTTCTGCACCAAAGGCAGAGAGCATCTGTAGAGGAAGGCAGGATAACCCCTTTTGATAGCATGCTAGACTCAGACCAAATTAAACCAAAGATGAAACTGCAGTCTCAGAACACTAAGATAATAACGTAAGAAGTTAAATGTAAGAAGTTGAAATGGCCATCTCTTATACCCCACAGTAAAAATCTACTTCAGCATTCTGTTGAACAAGAACTCACAGTAACGTATTCTACAACGAAGCAAATTCTAAACATCTGGGATTCTAATTTTAAGGAAGAATAAACAACTTTCTTACCCCATGATGTTAAGAATTCAGCAGCATACCGATAGATACGATTCATAATTTCAATCACAACAGCATATATGATACTGGGCACAAACAGCATCAAGCTGCTGAAGTTAGACTCATTCTCTTCATGATAATCCAGAGCCCACTGTTCCAAATCAAAGTAAATCATCATCACATACAGTGAGAAGTAGAGGCAAAGGCACACAAATGGTAAGGACACCAGATAAACCCGTATTTGTCTCTTAATACTTGAGTACACGGGTTCCTCCCTCCCAGTAATGGGATTGATACCCAGGACACCATGGAAGCCTGGCCTTGGTTCTTCAAACTGTCGTTTCATCAACAGTGTCCCCCAACGGTATGTCATGATGGCACAAATCCTCTTCCAAACTTCCAGTATCACAGTGGACCAGAGCAGATTGAATGTGGCAAACATCACATACTTGTCATAGTCTTCCCATGCAAACACATAATAAGGAATCCCAATGACAGCCATTGGAATCAAAGCAAATGTGAAGTACTCTAAGAAGCCAAAGTAGAGAGCAATGGTTTCGCCGAAGTAGCAGCGTATCTCATCTGCAGAGCAAAATGGATCAATTAAGATTACAGTTAATACAATGTCACTATAATATCACACTTGAATTTACATCAATCTCTTGGCACAAATTTTTTTTCTAAACAACACTATGAAAATTATTGCTTTTTTTATATATAGATACATACATACATTCAGATGGCAGGGAAGTCAAATATCTCAGTACTTACTATATCAATCAGGTATCTGGGGGGCAGGGGGTGGTGGTGGTGGCGAAAACCAAAAACACAAACGCACTAGCATTCTTGAAACAGAATCTATCATTAAATGGCTAGAATGCCACACATGACATTCAGCATCATAAAAAACAAAGTTCAACACCAAATGACACCTAACTTCTGAAGCTTCTCACTGACATATGTACACCTGGGAAACAAATTTGTTCCAGCCTGCTCAGGGCCAAAAAGGACTAGTTGTGCTTTGCCAGCCCTCAAGGAACTAAAGGAATAGATGAAAAGGTATATTGAAATCTTAAATCTTAAGTGTGTCAGATAGCACGCCTAGACTGAGACATTCCCTTCAGCGGACAACGGATACATGAAATACACACTTGTTGTACTCACCAAGGTTGTCTGCTCAGGCTTTATAAAGACTTGGAAAGTGCACTACTAATGGATATATTTCATGACAGATGTATTACCTCCAAGGAAGATAAGACCTCACTATCTTACTACTAACAAAAACTGTAGGAGTATTAGTCAACATAATTTAGAAATGGCAACACATAAAAATGCCAACACATAAAAATGCCTACCAAGCTGAGTTTAGAATGCTGAAATCTGTTTTATCTTTGCCTGCTTGGAGAACCAGATTGCTTGTATGCCACTACTATGCATTTACCAGCTTAATAAAACAGCCATAACATCATGACCTCTGATTTGACACTGTACATGCACCCTCCATAATAGACTAGCACATCAAAACCTCATGTGCAATACCAGAATATTCTTACTTCTTACAAAACACTACAGCTTGCAAAACACTACAGCAGAAGTTCACAATTGCCAATGAGATAAGTTTCTGAAAGCAAGAAGGAAAGTAAAACCGACAGAAGAATCAGCTCTCCAAAATCCCCCTCAATAAAGAATTAATTAACAAATAAGTTCAAGTGTAGGTCATTAGCATCATTTCACATTCCAAATACACAACATGAAAAACATTCCTAAATTAGTACACATATAACAGGGTTCCTGGGATTTACTTTGAAATTTCGTGTGTATTCAATGTCAGTTAAAAAAACCTCTCTCCTGCATAAACAAAAGGCAAGTGCACAGTAAGCCCCCTAACACAATACTCTGGAATCAGGCCTTATCAAGCCAGATCTTTTTACTTCCTGTAGCTCAGGAAAGAATCTTAAGCAACTGCAAGACCCAGAGATTAATAATCAGGCAAACGCCCAAATATTGATTTTCTTATTTTAAAGTAATGTTTATAGGCTTAGAATCCAGAACTTAACTTTCCACATTGCCAGACTAAAAAATATTTTCATTTTAAGCTTATTCAGTGTGTAGAATATACTCAAGTGACAATAGGATGCAACAACATACAGTCCTAATAAAGACAATAAATTTAAATCAAACATTTGTAAACATGCTTTTGACATGCCTACAACTCAAAATAGCTTTGGGAACTCTAGACATTGAGGAGCTTTCCTGTCAAGAGTCAGTTTGAGAAAAGTCTTGGCTTGGTCCACTACTGCTTTACTGATGGGTAGGAAGAATTTGTGATGTGCAGACTTATTACCAGGAAGCTTGCAGATACTGAATCTGCAGACTCTGAGTCACTGATTTCAATTTTGCAAGTCTTGAACTGTTTCAGGAGATTACAGAGAAAATGCTGAAAGAGGAAAAACTTGCCCAACCAGTAAAAGAGCAATGGTCTAATTTCAAGATTATGCTAGACGACCACAGTGCAAATGCTGAGCCTTTGAACTGCCCTCAGCTCCAACTTGGAAACTATGACCAAAGGCATATACACAGATCTCCTGCAGCCACAACAAAGAAAAGCAAGAGGCAGCAGCCTGCACATCCAGCACTTCACTCCAAAACAGTTATACTGCAAGTCATTACAGCAAAAGATTATCCTACAGCCATCTTAAAGAGAATTCAATGAAGAGACCTCAACTGTGCATGTCAACAAGTCTGGAAATGTGGATGCTTCCTTAACCAGAGCCTAAGCCACTGTGTTGATTCCAAGACCTGTAAAAGCAAGGCTGGATAAAACAAGGACTTTGGTTCACAAGGGCCATGAAAGCAACTTGGGCAGAAAGGTAACGTTAAAGGAAGTGAACTGCAATGGGTAATTGGGGATGTGAAAAGGTAAACTCTTAGTGAAACAACAGACTTCTTGGTACAATACTTATCTTCCACACAGGAGTTTTACTTCTATTGAGGCTAAACGCTGGAGTAGAAGTTAGGAAGGACCCTTGATCTTCTCACACAAACTGAAGAGAAAACTTATCCAGAAGAAACCCTGCATTTTATTTGTAGTGGAGTAAGTGTTCACATACCTAAAGGTTGATAGCCAACTTTCATTTGGCCATACCAACTGTGACGGAGCTTTTTCAACTCTTCTCTATCGTGCAGTGGGAAAATCTGAACTAGAATACCACTGGTCAATAATCTTCTTACTAAAAGGGAAAAGAAAAAAAAAGGTACCTAGTACTCCTCCAAAGGACAGTTAATTGATATAAGCAAACAGGTTGCATTATGTAGTTAGCAAGCCTAAACTTCCTTTGAAATAGATCTAGCATTTAAATCCTAAAAACAAATAAATTGCCTGCATGCTAATTAAAAAAATATTCATCACAGAGAGCAGTTCTACTTATTTGTGCCACCCACTGGAAGAGAAAGAGTAACCTTTTTACATCTATTAACTATTCTATAGGTTTTCAATATAATCGGTTGCAGCTTGAATAACAAAAAGTGCTACAGGTCAGAACTGAAATGCCACATGTCGATTTGTGGGGAAAGGTCTGGCTGTTGCATTTGAGCAAAGAAAGGCACAACAAATCAAACTGACAAAGCAAAACCAAAGCAAAGCACTAAATTGAGGCATCATTGTTGTATTAATTATGGGAAAGATATTAAAAACATTTTTTGAATTATCAATTTACACTAATTCATAAATTACAACACATCTTCATTGCAAACAAACAAATATTCCACAATTTGTATTTAACTTTGTTATGGAAAGTAATACCACCTGTGTGGATCAACAATTAACAAACTGTTCTGGACGTAACAACCACAGAAATATTAAAAAAGAAAAATTCAAAAACAGGAAATGGGAGACACTGGAAGTTGTGTGATAGTTTTTTACCATTTCCCATCGGCATCTAGTTCATCTAAAAGTTTCCCATGACAGAGTTACCACAATCTCTCTAAAACCCTGTTCTGATGTTTGATTACCCTCCTTGTGAAAAACATTTTCTCACTATCTATTCAGAATTTCTATTGTTGGACTGTTCATCCATTGCCTCTTGTCCTACCACTGCAGAGTGGTGAGAAAAAAAGTTGACTAAAAATAGTTGGAATTTAATGTCTGAAAGATTTCTCTTCATTGCACGAAAATTAAGTTGTTTTCACCATGAACACCATCCTACATCTACACAGTGAGTTACAGGCAACAAATTACATTGCTTACCAATTGATTTTCCTGGATACAGCTTTGCCTGAGGATATCCTGGAATCATTTTCTCATCTTTAGCTCTCAAATTTTCAAGTTCATGTTTGATGATATACTGACATTCTGCCATTGTAAGGAAATTGTGATTGTCATCTAAATCAAAAAGAAGGTAGTATGAAATTGTGCAGCACAGGAAGACAACCCTGGCAGCAAATAACTATCAAAAATTACCAGAATCAGAAAAAAAAAAAAATTTACAATTACTGTCAACCAACAATCCCTAGCAAAAACTCCAATTTTTAAAATAAACATCTTGGGAAGAAGTTTTCTCTAACCGGCACATGTTGGCCACTGCATTTTTGACTACCCAGGTAAAGTAAGAGAACAAATCACTCAAGAGACAAAGACAGCCCTGAAGTACTAATTGCTGAAGGCTCAGTGTACCAGCAAGTACTACATGCTCTTGCCCTGCTGAAAGACTCTTTCTTAAGCACCCACTATTTGCCAGTCTCAGAATTTCCATACACCTTTCTGCCATACAGTTACTGAAGTAGTTTTACAACGAAAAACAATAAGATGTCAGGACAAATCATCTTCTCAGTAAGCATTTCACAGCAAGTATTACAGTATCTTGCTCTTTATTGCCCATACAACATAATGATAAGCCATTTGAGACAATTAGTTGTGATAAAAATACAGAAATAAGGTAAAACTATAAGAAACCTTTCCAAAAATCACAAATTTTGAAGAGCTACAGCAACATACCTATTGTCAACCCCATCAATTTATCATCAAGGAAACAGAGTCTCATTTCCTTGAGATAACAACCAACCAGATTTTTACCCCCCACCCTTAGGAATAAGAAAGTATAGAGATGGGCTTAAATACACTAAGTGAAAAGAAAAAACAGCAACAAGTCTCCAATACAAAGAGTAAGAATACAGTATAATTTCAATTGTGGAACTAGAAATACTAGTAAGGCAACACAGGCTGCATAGTTTCTTTTGTAGACGACACATTTTTCACCTCATCTAAGCATGGTCAACTATTTTAACCTCTGATCAGATCTGGACAAGACTAAAATTATACTGGTGTTTAAAAAAAAAAAAAAAATACCAAGAGATACAGCAAAAATTATCCTTCAGGTTTACAGTAGTTGGAGTTCCAGCTGCTACTAGAGAATCCGTTAGCAATGAGAATCAGATTCGCATTAAGAACATAAATGCGTGAATAACAGAAATGGCACCTTTACAACTGACAAGGTTTCCTAATTTCAGGTTAACAAGGTCACAAAAGAAAAGACACCGCAGCAGTAACTGAACACAGCAACAGTGTTGAATAAACTGGCACCAAACAAACAATAAAATTCAACTTCATTATTGTTTGAGACAGATCCAAGAACCTTTACAGTGAAAATGTGGTAAAAGGCATCACTGAAACAGGCACATGAAAAGTATAAGCAAGACTAAGCTGGAACTCCAATATTCACCTAGAGAGCAAAATGAGTTCCACCACTGCAGGGAGGTTAAATAACTTACAGGTTGTACATTTAAAAGAAAATGTTACTGTATTGGCACTTCCTCAAAATAAAACAGGAAAAAGAATGATTGCGCTAATCATGCTCAAATTCCATTGAATGGCTCTGTAGTGTTATTTAATTATTTAATTCCGTTTGATGATAAATATTAGAGAGCAAAATATTTCTATTTTCTCCAGCTAATTATAAGACAATAAGCCTCAAAACTGGCTCACAGGTTTTAAAAATAAATTGCTATGTTAATTCATAACATTGATTGTTAACCCTGCATTCATGTTTATTAACTATTTTTTCTTGTCTTATTCTCAACAAAAATCTTTCAAACAAGAGACTATTTTGAGTATACAAAAGCATAAAGTAAAACACAAGCAAAAAGTGGAAGCCATGTGAAAGAAAAAAAAATTAACTTCATTATATGGTCTGAATTTCCACAGGTAAAAACGACTATTTTTGTCATGGCTTGTTCTTCCTATTTCTGTTTACTGTTACCATTCCAAGTAATAGAAAGTCTGTGAAAGGCTAAGCAGTGTTAATTGCTTATAAACTTTAGCCACAGCTTTGCAATGACAAAGACCCCTAGAATTGCTTACCTGCAAAATCTTTGAAAGTTTTTCTACTGCTGTATGTAAAAGTTCTCATTGAGTTATCATTACATTCCTTCACCAAACCCACAGTCTCAGCTCCCAGCAACAGCCTTAAGTGGGAAGCTCCAACCAGATAAATATTTTCATCTCCATTTTCCGTGGCCAATGGTTTAACCATCAGTTGTGCACCTTCACAGTAAAGAAAGGCAAAATAAGGAAGAGAATACATAAAAATTACATCCCAAAACCCTAGTATTTTAGCATCCATCATATCGGACCTAGTTATCAGGAGCACTGAAGTTGCATCTTTTTAAGGGCACAAAGAATTAAGGCTTCAACAGCCTTATGACAGTTAACTGTCATGTGGCGCTCAGAATCTTGCAGGGTCACCCCTGCTTTAGCCCTGTTTCTGTGGAAGCGCTCACAGACAGTGAACTGGAACAACGGAGACAGTTTGGATACACTCCCCTAAAGCTCACATCATGTAAAGCAACCAGTGCTTCTGCAAACAGTCCCACTCATTTTAAGGAGACTAGACTCTTGAAATAGAAACAACCTTGACTTATCTAACAGTGGCCTGAAAGCAAGTTTGTAGTCACAAATCCAGTAGCCACAGAAATACTAGTGGCCATAAGACATAAGCTACAACAGCCACAAATAAAGCCTTTCTAAAAAATGTAAAAAAAAAAAAAGAAGTCTAAGGAATTACAAATAAATTAGCTTAACTTCAATTCATGGAAATTTACTAAAACAAGTAATGGAACATTGTCTTTGTAAGAGCCTACAAGCTAGCAAAAAGATAATTAAAATCCAACGTGAATTTATCAGGATTGAATTGCCTCCTGCTATCTTAACTTCGTTCCACAACATGGTACCAAGTCTTGTGGCCAGGACAGTAAATGTGCTGCATCTTCATTTTGTCAAGGCTTACAATGTTCTCAAAAGCAACAAGAGAAACATGCTTTAGACAATTAATATAAAAACTGATATCAAATCTATGTTGAAAGACAGGTTACCAAGGTTTAAACACAAAAATGTAAGCATTCTAGAGTTCACCAGGCATGTGACCTTAAGCAAGTATTTTCACTAATAACTGGGTTAACAGGGTCCAGATATTACATTTTGACACCAGCACGAAGCTCTATTCTTACATAAAATTAAGCAACTTCTAAAATGCAAAAAGGAGTGGGATTGGCTAAACAATAATTAAACCACAAATTACCCGAAAACTAATTTTCTGTATGTCCTCATATTAGGGTGACAGACAATTTGATTTCAAAGTGTTATAGAAGATCATACTGTACTCACCTCCATTTGCTTTTTTGTCCACAATTCGTTTAGTGAACCATTCTACGGTTTCCTCTTTAGTACCTTTTGCAAGCTCAATTACTACCAGAGGCCTGAAGTCAGGCTCCAAAGTATCCAAGAAAGACCAGCTTTCCGCCATCTTTTGAGAGCTTGCTACGTACAAAAACAAAATAAAAACGACAGTGTTAAAAAAATATTTGGCATCAATCTAAAAAATCACGAAACTTTATTATAGTGAGCTACATATGTCTGTGCTTAGCAAAGTGGTAGGTGCCCATTTCTGTGGACCTACCAAAAAGAGGACTTTGAGTAACCTCTCCACTTGCCATTTGGCATGATGCTACCGGTCTTCAGTGGTATTTATGCCCTACTTTCTAAGTAGCAAAATTGTTGTTGCTATGTATAGCAAAGTAGTAGTGATGAGAAAGCAAAAAAATGAATGAAGTAATAAAGAGAAACTATCATCAGAAGCAACATCTTGCAACTTCCTACAGTGTATTATTTATCAGAAAAATGATAACATGAACAGAAGAGAACATCAGTCAAACAGATATCTAAAACCAATAAGCTTCTCCTGGTAAAACTGTGCAAGCACATTGTACGTTTAAGGAAGATCTTTCTCAGTTAATGTTCTGAAGCTCTAACCATACCAAGAAAACATACACCACCTTGGGTAGGTGAGCAGGACACCTATCACATAGATAAGCAAATTATGCACAAAGCAATTAAATGACTTGTTGAAAGATATAAACCAAGCGTTCTGTGACAAAGTCCATCTGCAAAGCACTGGGCATCAGCACAGCTTTATATGTAAATAATCCAAATGATCTAAGTGAACCTTTAGAGAATCATACAATCATTTCAGTTGGAAAAGACCCTTAAGATCATCAAGTCCAGCCGCAAACCTAACTCTGCCAAGTCCACCACTAAACCACGTCCCTAAGCACCACATCTACACGCCTTTTAAATACCTCCAGGAATGGTGACTCAACCACTTCCCTGGGCAGCCTGTTCCAATGCCTGATAACCCTTTGGGTGAAGAAATGTTTCCCAATATCCAATCGAAACCTCCCCTGGTGCAACCTGAGGCCATCTCCTCTCATCCTATCCCTTGTTACTTGGGAAAAGAGACCAACACCGACCTTGCTCTCCTTTCAGGTAGTTGTAGGGAGTGATAAGGTCTCCCCTCAGCCTCCTTTTCTCCAGGCTAAACAACCCCAGTTCACTCCGCTGTGCCTCATAAGTCTTGCTGATATTGTACCTTCAACTTTTTATATAAAAGATTCTACAGAGATCATTGTATCATGCTTCATAAAGCAACTTAGAGGTGCTGATATAAAAAGATAAGTCTGGTAACTAACCCACTTATTTAAAAATAAAAATTAAAAAGCCAACCAAAAACCCTATCACAGACTAAATTTACTGAATTTAAAACTGAAGGGAAGGTTTTGGGTTGGGTTTGTTTGGTTTCTGCAGGGTTTTTTTTTGCTATTAACTTCACTGAAGAAAGGATTTTACCTACTGTCTTCAAGCAGTTTTCCCCCTCCTGTTCAAAAACTGAAATTGCTTGATTTCTAAGTTGCACTAAGCATGCAGTTCAGCTTTTATGGGTTTTAGTTGTGTGATTCACAGAGAAATTACGTTCTCCAGTGTTTCACATAAATTATCCTACAAAATATAGTGATACTGTAAACACATGCATATCATAATAAATGAATGTATTTGCTTTTGACTAGGAAAAAACCTTTCAAGCTGGATTTCAATAGGGCTTTCAATTAATTTCACTTCCCAGTTCATATGTACACAATGCTGCAGCATTTAGATTTACAGCTCTGAACCCAAGTATGTATGTCTTTATAAATCTAGTGTATTTCCTTTAAAGTATTTTAAAACATGTATTTTAAAACATTTTAGATGCAAATCTGCACAAGCAGAATGTATCAGACAAAGGAAACCATAATCAGCAACTAGGCACTGTAACCGTGATTGTCAATGATTGACAACATGGTCTTGACTCGTCACTCCACTTTATTCCATCACTTTCCGTAAGCAGTTTTATTTATTTTAAAGAAGATAATGCCTGCCACATCATGCGTATACCAACTTCGATGGAATTTAAAAAATGAAAAGCACTAGATAATTATTGCTAGTTAATGATACCACTTTACAGAGCAGTTATCTTCTGAAAACAGCCTTTTTATACAGAGCATGCTGCTCCCTAACCTTGGCTCCTATCATTTATTCAGAATCATTGTGCTTGGCAGAGTGACAAAGTAAGATTTGTTATTTTTAGGCTTCTTACTACTGAAAACAGAGCTGAAGCACTCTTTCAGCTTGCGTTTGTGGTTTCCTATACCACAAAGCATCCCGTTTAATGCCCAGCACAGACCCTGCGGGATGTAACTTGGCCTCTTCTTTCACACCTACACACAGTGTAACTTACGACACGACCCAGAAGCATGGGGAACAGAGACAAAAGGACTGATAATCCCCAAAGCCCGCTTCCCGCTCACGAAGCCGTGGGCTGGCCGCCCAGGGAGGCCTCCCAAGCCCGCGCACCCCTCCGGGCTGAGGCAGCTCCAGCCCCTTTCCGCGGG